ATAGATACTCAACATGGAAAAATACTTGGAATTAACATTGACTAAAGTAATTGAGTATTCATGGCTAGGCTACATCGTAGCCCTAGCAAAAGAAATTAGTTCATGACAACTTTAATAAAAACCATGATAAACAGTGTCATAGGAAAGAAAAAAACCAATTGAGGATTTAATCTCTGCACAGCAGCAACTCTCGCTCCAGGTCTTGTCTTCCTCTCTCTAAAACTCTCTCTCGTGCCTTTGTAGTCTATGGTCTCCCAATAATCCTCCCAACCCCTGGGCTTTAGGTTAAAGTACATCGTAGCCCTAGCAAAAGAAATTAGTTCATGACAACTTTAATAAAAACCATGATAAACAGTGTCATAGGAAAGAAAAAAACCAATTGAGGATTTAATCTCGCACAACAGCAACTCTCGCTTCAGGTCGTCTTCTTTGTCTCTCTAAAACTCTCTCTCCTTTGAGTGTTTTGGCTATGAGTCTGAATGTGTAGGAATGTGATGGTAGATGATGGGGGATCGCGGATGGATAATGGGTAATGGATCCCTCGAACAATGACCTAAACTCTCTATTTATAACACTCCTAGAAATCCTACCTAAGGTATAATTACAATTGGTATAAAAATAGGATTCCTTCTAAAATAAGGTCTTCTTTATTTCTCCTTGTTTGACTTGATAAGACTTGAACCCTCTTGAACTAGGAAATTAATACAACATTCCTTGCAACAAAAGGAATGACTTGGCTTCTTTTTTAATTAAACTCCAATCTTCATCTTCTTGCCCTTTTTTGCCCACTTTCTCCTATTTCACAATTCCTTCACAAATCTCACAAAACCAATTAAAACAACCAATTTAATTCAAGGAAATTAACAAATAAATAAGCAAAGGAGGCATAAAATATATATAAAATATAGGCTTATCAAATACCCCCAAACCTATCTTTTGCTAGTCCTCGAGCAAAACTGAAAATCAAAAAATAAATTAAAACAAACAAACTAAACTAAACCACTTTCGCAGGTAATCTCGATGGCACTTAGCATGTGCCACAAGCCTTTAAACCTCTAGGTGTCCCTAGTAGGAGGAGTTGTGTCTCCTGAGGGTTTACCAGTCACGACACCCACAAACGCTCCTTTCAAAACAAATTCATTAAAGCAATACTTCCAACAAACTAATAATAACCAATGAATGCCAATCACAATTCAAAAACTAAAGTTATGCCATTACAAATAAAATGCACCATAGTGTAAAGTGTAAAGCCAATACTCCACGCACTCTAACTTAAAGATAACCACACTCGGCGTGTGTACAAATTCGCCTTGACTCTAGGCCTCACTGGATAACTCTCAATTTTCTCACAGAACCTAGGGTTGCACTCTTACCTCGCATATGTGAATGAAGTTAGGTGAAGAAATCAAAATATAAGACACATATGCATCCAAGATGAATAAAAGGCAATTTCTGAAAATAGATCTCATGGAAAGGAAATCAAATACTAAGAACCACAGATGAAGTACATACCTCCACTTTCACTCTTGAAAACTATCATTTTTCTCTCTTTGATCTCCCAAACCTATTTGGTTGATGTTGGATTGTGTTTTTGTGTTAATAAGAATATGGAAACAATTCCCATACATACTTACTTAAGCATTTTCGGCCAAAACCCATTGGGCTTCCAAAATTGGGGCTTATGACACTTAAACCATAATATTTAGTTGTCTTAAGCCCTTGGGCTTGATACCCAACCA